TTTTTGTAGTTTTAGTAGAGACGGGTTTCACCATGTTGACCAGGCTGGTCTTGAACTCCTGATCTGAAGTGATCTACCTTCCTCAGCCTCCCAAAGTGGTGGGATTACAGCCGTGAGCCACTGCGCCCAGCAGCTGTCTTTCTTTATTTTCCCTTCGCCTTACTTTCTTCACTGACAGATTTCTTTTTATTTCTTTTTTTTTTTTCATTTTGGGTTTCACCACGATGGCCAGGCTGGTCATGAACTCCTGATCTCAGGTGATCCACCCACCTCGGCCTCCCAAAGTGCTAGGATTCCAGGCGTGAGCCACCGTGCCCAGCCACTCACAGATTTCTATCTTGAAGGCTGTGTGTGTGCTTGTGAGCTGTATTAGAATATTTTGGGGAGCAAGACTATTAACACACATTCTCTCAACTTATAACCATGTGTGACTTCCAGATACCCAAGAACAACAGCCCCTTCCATGTGCAGTAAACACCAAACCTGTCTCCCCGACCACTGCCCCAACCTCGCACATGAAAGATGACCAGCCCTGCCTGGTGGAGAGCACCGAGTGTGAGCAAAAACATGACTCATCCCACCACATCCTACGGCAGCCTCCTCAAGAAACCAGCCCATGGGGTATAGGTATATTTTCCTATACCTCTATCTCTAAATAGGTATAAATAGGAAGATATACCTATGTAGAGATAGAGGGGAAAGCTGGAGAGAAGCACCTGGCTTACACATACCAGAACATCCCTAGCTCTACTCAACTGCCTCCCTTCCCAGACCCCAAAGCCCCCCTCCAGGTTTCTGCGAGGGCCTGGTTTTTGGGCCCAGATAGCTCTCCTGCCATGCATAACCCCTGATCCCTTCTCCTGTTCTCATTCACCCAACCCCACACGTTGAACCTGAATGAGTGCCAGCCTCATGGCCCTGTGGGCATCAGAGCATTTTGCCAGGGTAACGCCAACTCACCTTCTCTCACCATTAGTCAACTCACTTGGCAGGAGAAGTTCCAATGCCAATATGGGAATGGGAGTGGGAATGCAGGGCCGGGCCCGCTGGAAAGGGCATCCTGAATTTTTCATAAGATAAATGGGAAGCCTGCTTGTCTCTCTTTGCATATATGTACTTGCAAATAGGTATGTATATATACATAAAGTAGCCCTATAGATACATGCTAATGCTGATGCTAGATATAAATGAGGATTGGACTTGCCTTCCTAGAAGAAACCCAATGTTCCTTGCTGAGTTTTTTCAGAGAAAAAATAAATAAATACCAGAGGCTGCAGCAGCTTTCCAGAGAGCAAAGAGAAGAGAGCTGATCTCTGAGGCGTGCAGCACCTGAGGAGCCTGGGAGGGGTGGGGTGTAAGGAAATGGGCAGTGGAGGGGAGCCCAAGGCCATGGAGACAGAAAGGGTGGAGACAGATCAGGTATTCAATGGGGACAAGGCATGTGGTTTGACTGGCTTTGACTTTTTTTTTTTTTTTTTTTTTGAGAAAGCATCTCATTTTGTCACCCAGACTGGAGTGTAGTGGGACAATCTCAGCTCACTGTAACCTCTCCCTCCTGGGTTCAAGTGATTCTCCTGTCTCGGCCTCCCGAGTAGCTGGGATTACAGGCACTCGCCACCATGCCCGGCTAAGTTTTGTATTTTTCGTAGAGACAGGGTTTCACCATATTGATCAGGCTGGTCTCAAACTCGTGATCTCAAGTGATCCACCCGCCTTGGCCTCCCAAAGTGCTCGGATTGCAGGTGTGAGCCACTGTGCCCCATGGCTATGACTTTTTAAACCAGTTAAACTCAATTTGACTGTACTCCACCCCTTACTTTTATTTTCTGAGCACATGTATCCCGGTGTGTAGTTCCCAGTGTGTTTACCCAAGTGGTTCTACTTTGCCCAGAAGGTAAGCGCCAAGATGGCAGGTTATTTGTTGTGTTTCCTGTTTGCCACTGTGTCTCACTATGAAAATGTTGAATGGCTCAGTCACTTTATTGACTGATTTGTTAAACCACCTCCACCCACAAAGCTCTGGGAAGCATATTTTAGTTCAAGTGGATTAGAAACTTAAAGATTAGCACTGACTTGAGAGGTTCAGTCCTGCCTGTGACTTGAGCTGGGGTGTGAACCCAGCTTACAGTTCTCTGTCTTTCTGCCCACTAATCAATTTCCTTGGACATTCCTGAATTCACTCGTGAATTCAGGAGAGTCACTTGAACTCCAATGCAAGGTCTGAGAGTCGGTGATGTGGAACGTTTATGAAAGTAAGAGAGGGGACGGCTAGATGAACAGACAGATGGATGGAGAGTACACTAACAGGATGGATCCTCGGAACTCTCCCTCCACAACAACCAGGCCAGAGGACTGGGGCGACTGGGGCGACCGAGGCTTGGAGAAGGAGAATTAGCATCATTATAACATGAAGACTTCTTCCTGGGGACCAGACTGCCCATGACCAATCACCTCTTCCTACCATCCCCAGGAAGGTAGGTCCCTACAAGATCAGCAGCCAAAAATGTCCCTAGGGGTCTTGGCTCCGAGGCAGCAGTCTGAACAGAAAGGAGGACCCATTCAATCATCTTGTTTGTGCTTTCCACTTGTGGAAGGGGCACTATGTAATTGTATGCTTAAAAGATGTCTTCCTTTCTTTAAAATTGCTCTTGCCTGAATATAAAGGTGGGATGACCTAAAAGGTGTGGTCACTTCCTAAGGCCATGAAGGCAGTCTTACTGGTACCCAGGTGAGGTCAGTCTGACTTAGGAAGGGTGGAGGATGGAACTAGCCTTTGATCCCCAAGGTATGGTGGCACCCCTTAGGCAGAGGCAGGCCAGGAACTGGGCAGCAAGTCTTTTTTTTTTTTTTTTTTCCTTTTTTAGATGGAGTTTCGCTCTTGTTGCCCAGGCTGGAGTGCAATGGCACGATCTCAGCTCAACCTCCGCCTCCCAGGTTTAAGCAATTCTCCTACCTCGGCCTCCTGAGTAGCTGGGATTACAGGCATGTGCCACCACGCCCGGCTAATTTTGTATTTTTAGTGCAGGCAGGGTTTCTCCATGTTGGTCAAGCTAGTCTCAGACTCCTGCTTTGGCCTCCCAAACTGCTGGGATTACAGGCATGAGCCACTGCACCTGGCTAGAGCCCACGTCTTACATATCTAAAATATTCTTGGTTTACTTGTGTTTTTCCATCCCTGGTGTTTAGTAAAATCTCTTTTGAAATCTCCTGTCTGTCTCATCCCAACGAGCATGAAAGCAGGAGGAAAGAAATCCACCGCAAAAGAATTGCCACGTGCCCCATCAGGTGAGTTCTGTTACCTCTACATTTAAGTGGCCCTTCATTTCTTCTGAGCACTGAGGTGGCTCTGACAGTGTAAAGACAGTTCAGAGAGTAGGGAGCAGGGAGGGAGCGGAGGTGGGGAAGAGAGAGCACCGCTCCACTCTGCCACCCCCCAGGGACTCTTCTTGAGCACAACTGACTACTTTCCAGGGCATCTTCACCAAGGTAGGGAAGGGGTGTATGTTTCTCACGGAGAATCCTGCAGGGAAGCCTTGTGTCCCTCTTGTGGGAGGTGAAAGACACAGAAAGGGTGGCTGAGGGACTAAAAGATAGAGCTGCCCCACCCCCTGGCTTCAAGGCAATTTCTTTTTGACCCTAGAGGGCAGGAAGGAGCCCACCTGACACCTGCTGCCCAGACTGTACTTTCTGAGTTTGCACTTCACCTTCAGCCTGCCATTGCAGCCTTGTGCTCTAGCTGAAGAACGGGGAGATCGGGCACAGAGGCTGGGCGTGAGCCTGCCCTGAGTAGGAAGGTGACGGCTTTCAGTGTCTACCCGCACTCTGAGGGGAAGACTAGAGCTGGGGGGAATAAAAAAAGAAAGGAAGGTGATAGCCTTGGGTGACCTGACCGCCCTCCTTGGCCCACTTCAGGGCCATAGTGAAGAAAGCAAACACGGAGCCTCACAGACCAGACTCCCATCCCAACTCTACAGCTGACAAGCCACGTGGCTCTGGGTGAAAAACTCCACCTGCTTCCTTATCTGTAAAATAAGGAACTAACACCCAGTAAAAGCTACACTTACAGGTTTGTTGTAAAGTTGGAATGGGTCTGAGTGCTGGGCCTGCCCTTGGTGGGTGCTCAGGAAATACCGTGTCCTGCTCAATTTAACTTTGTTGTTTTGCTGTCCATTTAGAGAAGCCAAAATTAACAAAAACAAACAAACAGCCCTCCCGGGCAGGCTCCGCTCTTGACCTCCTAGAGGAGTCAGCCCTGAGCCTTCATCCAGAGGGTGCCTGTTTCTGTTTCCCTTTTTGAGCTTCCAGACTCAGCAAGCAAACACTCCCTCCTTTTACCCTGGTAATGTTTTCCTTCCTATGGAAAAAGTGTGATGGCTTCTGGCCTTTCCAGGGACTTAGGAGGTGACCAGTCCTGTCCCTGTGCAGCCCAGGGAGCTGCCAGATTACAGATGTATCACAGGCAGGAACCATGAGTGGCGCTTTCTGGCCTGAAGCTGCAGGACAGAGGCCTCTGTCTGAACCTGAGGCCTGAAGCACCATGAGAGAAATGACTCGAAAAGGCCCCACATCCTGCCCACACAGAAAGAGCCACCATGCAAATTCGCGTGCGTGAACATACACACAGAGAGAGAGAGAGAGAGAGAGAGAGAGAGAGAAGCCAGTGCTACTGAAGGCCTGTGGTGAGGCCAGCTGAGGCTCAGGAAGGGAGCAGAGGATGGGGGTCTGAGATGGGCAGAGAGTATCCAGGGGAGAATGCATGGGGATAGAGGTAGAGGCACCCCGGACAGGCACTGCCTGGAGAGGACAAAGACCCCCAGAGGGCTGGGGCCAGGCTGGGCCTCTCCTCCCTGGGTCCTCTCACCCCACATCCCTCACCCCTTCTTTGGGCCTTTCCCCCTTTCCCAACAAAGAGCTCAGCAGCCCGGGTTCTGACCCTCATGCTAGGTGGTTCCTTGTCCATAGGAGGACGGCGCCGTGTGATGCTCTAGAGTCCCAGGAAGCTGGGAGACAGGACCCCTTGGGGCCCACTTTTTAAAGCTGAGCCAAGGTCCAACGAACAGAGGGGTGTTTATCACTAGCTGATGACAGGCCACTCTTCTCTGCATTCTAGCAAAGGAGTAACTTCAACTGTGGGATTTTAGGCCCTGGAATAAGAGGGGAATGGCATTGAGGTGGGTGGGAACTTTGTTCCATGCAGCTCCCTTTACTATGACAATAAGGACTACAGTGGGTCTTAGAGTGTCCCAAACAGGCACACTTTGAAAGTGCAGTGGTTCTGTTGCCCATCAGGACAACAGGCCTAAGCCAGAGTTAAACCAGCAAGGAGGGTCCCCTTATGTCTCTTCGAGCCTCTCCGGGATAGTCCTGGAAGGTAAGATGAAGCTGGGACCCCTGATGGCCAAGTTGACTCTGAGCTCCCACAGCAACCACACCCAGAGCAGCCCCCTCCCCACACCCAGGCCTTCCAGACTCCCTCTCTCCAGAGTCTAGGGTCAGGGGTCACTTGAAGCCTTTGGCCACAAAAGCCCGCACTGGGTACTCAGCCAGAGCAGTCACTGTGGACCCAGCGACACACACAAGAGGTTTAGCAAGGAGCTTCCTTCTCTCTTCACTATTCCAGACCTCCAGGGGCTCTGCGGGGAGCCAGGACAGGGAAACAACCGGGGTTAGTGGGGCCAGGGCAGGGAATCAGAGAAGGGTCAGATGAGAAGGGGTAGGCTGAGGGAGGAGGGGGACAGGACGGAAGAAGGGAGGGGAAGGAGGGGCCTAGCCTCCTCCAGGCTCACAGCAGGTGCACCCAGCACTGCAGGCGCCCTAGACTCCCCCTGCCTGCCTGCCCCAGCCCCTGCCACAAGGACCCACAAGTGAGTCTCTGCATTCCCTTCTCCCGCAGGTCCCTCCAGCCCCACCCTAGGCAGACCCACTTAGCTCACCTCCAAAGGACCCAAGAAAGGATGACTTGGCCTGAGCTCCCGGGAGCACTTCCTGGCTGCACAGTCGGCCTGCCCAGTGAGCGTGGCTGTGGCAGCTGGAGCTTCCGACTTCCGCTCCTCCTCACCACAACACACACCCCCTCCTGCTCCCCGCCACCTCCCCGGAGTTCCTGAGCTGCTTGGTACCTCACACTTCCTGCCCACAAGACAAGAGCCTCTCCTCCTAGGCCCAGTGCCTCCAGCTCCCTTCCCCATGCCCCTGCTCCCTGGAGGCCCCCACCCTGCACACCAGCCTAGAAAGAACCTGCCATGGTGGAACAGGCCTCTCCCTGCCATGCAAAGGCCTGGGAGAGAGAAAGGGGAAGGGGCCGAGGACTGGTCAGTAAGCAGGCCCCACCTCCTTCCTCCCTGTGGTTCTACCCCAGGTTCTCAGCCTTGCCCTGGGTCTCAGTCCCCTGCAGGGCACACAGTGAGAGACAGGGGGGCCCTAAATCAGGCAAATTGTGGTTTCTAACAAACGACATTTCAATTTTTGTATGGCTATGTCTCATGTCACTGGTAGTTATGCAAGTAATACAGTTGCCTTTTTTGTTACAAAGTGTCCCCCAATAGCACCTCAACCCCTCCTCACACCTATTTTATGAAGCATTAATAAACCCATCATACAGATCTGGATCCGGAGGCAAGCTCAGAGACACTAAGCCACTGCCCAGGGTTGCACAGCTGGAAAGTCACTAAGCTGAAGTTAGAATACAGAGCCTCTGACTATATGAACCAACTGACCTCCATTCCCCTCTGCTGAATTCCCAGCACGTGTCCTCTGGACATAGGCTGCAGTGTCCACAAGTGTGAGTGAGGCTGGTGGGGAGCTCACTCACCATACCATTCTCCTCCCTCCACACAATCTGCTTTCTCAGCTTCAATGACCACTGTCTTCTCTGCTGAGACTCCACCACCCCTGCCCTCCCTGAAGTCTCATCTTCACGATTCCAGCTGCCCAGGAGATTCCCTTATTTGCATGTCCACACAGCCGTGTGGACCAGCCATCCGACCCAGAGTTGAGAGGGTCAAGCTCTAGCTCTCCTCCAGCCGCACCCCTCCCCGCAGGATGCAGAGTCCACAGGAACATACCAACATGGAGCCCATGCACCCTGCTTTTCCACCACACTCTGGGCTCCTAGATCCTGAGATTCTCTGCTTCTGGGGCCCACATGGCCCCCTCCCCTCATGGGCACACTGCACCCCTGTCCTGTACAGCCCGAGACTGGGTGGGGCCCTGGCAAGGTTCCTGATAGTGGAGACAGAAGTGGATAGAGAGAGCTCGAACCTGGAGGCAGCTCACCTACCCATGTGCATGTGTGATGCAGAGCAGGGTGAGGAAGAGAAAGGGAGCTGGAGCTGCATCATGGGCCAAAGGCTGGGGTGGGCTGTGCTGCGGCAGCAACATTCAGAGGCAGAGAATCCTCCTTCAAACCTGGTCACCCAGGCCCTGATCAAAGTGGGAGGTCGGATAATTAGACACTTTTTTTTTTTGAGATGAAGTCTTGTTCTGTCACCCAGGCTGGAGAGCAATGGCGAGATCTTGGCTCACTGCCACTTCCGCCTCCCGAGTTCAAGTCATTCTCCTGCCTCCGCTTTCTGAGTAGCTGGGATTACAGGCATGCGCCACCATGCCCGGCTAACTTTGTATTTTCAGTAGAGACGGGGTTTCTCCATGTTGGTCAGGCTGGTCTCCAACTCCCAACATCAGGTGATCTGCCCGCCTCATCCTCCCAAAGTGCTGGGATTATAGGCGTGAGCCACCACTCCTGGCAGGACACATTTTATATGACAGCTTGTGAGCTTCAGTGTTAACTTTCACACATTTGGACTTATTAGATGGGGTCCCCCCCCTCCACTTCCTGGGGCTGGCAAATGTTGGGAGCACGCTTATCTCACCAGCACCTCAAACTCAATATTTATAAGGCAAATCTGATTCCTTCTCTCCTCCAAGCTGGCCTTCCTCCTATATTTCGGCTTTTACAACTCTCTCTCCACTAAGCTAGGTAAGTCAGAAACCTGAAGTCACCAGGACCTAAATGAAACCCTCCACTTCGGCCCCCAGCCTCTAGGGGTGCCTCCAGAACATGGCCATGGCTCAAAGCCAGCACCTGCTCTGCGCAGGCTCTATGCTGCAAGCCGCTGACCTATCAGGAATAAAACACATGACCGCTGCGGAAGCTGAGGCACCTCCATCTTGAAAGCTAACCTGCCACATTGACTTAACTGATTGACCCCAGTTTCAGGGCAGGGCCTCTACAATTTCCAGTTTATCTATTGTTCCCTGTGTAAGAGCAGGTACTTACTGTAAGCCTCTAAGTACTACCCTTAGGTCAAACAACATCGATGGCATCACACTTCAGTTGTCTTACAAATCCGGTCAGAACCACCCCTGCCCTATGCTATATGAGCCCTGGGTTCGGGTGCTGATGCCAGGATCCACCACCTCATCTCGTCGCCGCCTGAGACACCTCCATAGCTTCTGTTAGAAGTCCCCTAGCTTTGTCCGCCTCTTTCTTCAACTTCTCAGCTTCCTCAGACTTTGGGACAGCTTTGCATAGGCCTGCCTATTGCAGAACAATTCCTGTTCTCGGGGAGCTTCCAGTCTAGTGACAGAGAAAGAAAAGAAACAAACGGACTCATGAATCAAATTTTATCATAAATTGTAAGGAATGTCTGGGAAGAAGCAAAGAGAAACAAGTGAGGGTGACTGCATAGGAGGCCCCTGAAGCTGCACCAGGTCCTGGTGAGGAGGGTCCAGCATGGAAGGGCATTTTCAGCTTCTAATTCCTTCCCTGAAGCAGGAAAGGTCCCTGCCTGTCCAGGGAATAGAAAGCAGGCCAGTGTGGTGCAGTGCCAGACCCAGGTGCCCAGAAGGAGTGGGAAAAGATGAGGCCAGAGGGGCAGGGCCAGATCCCACAGGCGCCCCAGTGGCAAGACAGGGTGGATTTTTTTTTTTTTTTGAGACAGTCTCACTCTGTCAGCCAGGCTGGAGTGAAGTGGCATGATCTCAGCTCACCGCAACCTCTGCCTCCTGGGTTCAAGCGATTCCGCTGCCTCTGCCTCCTGAGGAGCTGGGATTATAGGCACCCACCAACACATCCGGCTAATTGTTGTATTTTTAGTAGAGACAGGGTTTCATCATGTTGGCTGTTCTCAAACTCCTAACCTCAAGTGATCTTCTCACCACGGCCTCCCAAAGTGCTGGTATTACAGGAGTGAGCCACCACATCCAACCCCTAGGGTGCATTTTTAAAGCAGAGAAATGACAGGTTAAGGAGTATTTGTGTATTTTAAGGTCACCCATCTGCTATATGGAGAACAGATGGATCTGTCTGCTGTATGGAGAAGAGATGGTAGAGGCTACATAAGTTCAAGGAGAGCAGTCCGGATGCTCTGTGAGACTCCAGGCAATGGGGGACAGTGGCTTGGCTGGGGCAGTCATGGCAGAGATGGGAGACACGGGACTGGGAATGCATATGGGGGATGAGTGTAGAAGCTGCCGCTTCATTATATGCGAGGGGTCAACATGGGAGGGGAAGTCAAGGGCAACTTCCAGATTTTTGGCTCAAGTAGCTGGGTGGGTGGTAATAATAGCATTGGCTGAAATAGGAAAGAACTGGGAGATAAGGCTTAGGGGAGAAGCTCAGAGTTTAATTTTTAATATTGGATTTGAACTACCTGTAAGATATTTCAAGTAGACAACTGAAAAACGCACCCGAACCCATCTGAGCTGGGAGAGGGAAGGTGGCACCCACCCAGCATGGGAGGGGACAGGTCTGCAAAGGAGACAGTAAAGGGACTGTCATGAAGGTGTGAGAAACAAGGGGAGGGCCGTGCTGTCACAGAAGACAAGAGGGGGTTACTTCAGACAGAGGAAGTGGTTGGCTTGGTTGATTGCCGCTGAGAAGTCGAGGAAGATAAGAAGCGAAAGTGATCTATATTGAACATGGCCAGAAGTTATGGACAAGTGGGGTTGGCAGCAAATGCTGAGGCAGAAGACAGGAGACCAAGAGGTGAGGTGTCAACCTCCTCAAGTTGGGGCTCTGCCCCTCCCAGTCCAGGCTTCTGGGTGATCCATGGCTCCCTGAGGCTGAAAGGGGAGGCACCAGTGATCTTCCCCTTCCCCAAGTCCAGGCCCTGCCCCTCAGCTGAGTTATGGGTTCCTATCATCCCCTTGACCGTGAACTTCTCCAGGGGAAGGACTGGCTCATGTGCTTTACAGCAGAGTGCCTGACTCAATTGCTCCACAGCCATTTGGTGAATGACTAAAGGCTGCTCAGCCTCTCTTCAAGACCATACTAAGTGGTATGGGACCTGCCTCTCCCCGTTCCTTCCATGCAGTGGGTCTTGCATATGTACGGTGTGTGTGTGTGTTGGGAGTTCCCTCCCCAGCCTGTCCTTCTCCCTACGGCACAGAGGACACACAACACAGCAGACACACAGCACAGCCAGGCAGCTCTCCTGCCTCCCTCGAGGTAAGCTGCTTCCTGTTTGCCTACACAAGAAGCTGCTCAGCACAGGTAACTTCTCCCAAACTGAGCACAGACCAAGGAGTAGGGCCCACTTTCCAGGAGAGGGGCCCTAGGGATTTTAGCACACAGTCAGCCCCTCCTGGGAGGCAGAGGGGAGAGAGGCCACCAGTGAAGGAAATGACACCTAACATAAAGCCCAGGACCCTTTCCTGAGGACCCCAATGTGCTGACGCTTACCAGGCCCTCTCCACACATCATCTCTAGTCCCTAGGGGTCTGGGGTCAGGGTGGGGGCATTATTATCCCCAGGCCACAGAACAGATGAGGAGACAGAGGGTCAGCCGTCACTCGGGCGTGCACAGGCAGGAAATGGTAAGGCTAGGATTGGACCTGGGTCTGTAGAACCCTCCCAATGTACTTTCTGCTGGACTCCGTTACCACTGCATGCTGCGGAAATGAAAACCCAGGTGGGGAGCAGGCCTTCTTCCCAACGAGCAGAGCTAGACAGGGTAAGCCTGACTCACATCTCCCAACTGGAAGTTCATGAAAACCCTTGTGCTAACGGAGTTGAAATATTGGCCTGGGCAGGGTGAGAGAGGAGGACTGAAGCATCCAAATGAGCTCCAAATTAGTCTCCATAAAAGTCCTATACTTTATTTTTATTTATTTATTCATTTTCAGACGGAGTCTCACTCTG